TTATTCAGAGAAAGTATGTTTTTGCGTCTGATTGCGTAACTTAAAATAAAATATCGTGCACTAATTAATTTGCATATTTGATGTCACACCCTCGAATTATTAAGATGGAGTCCTAGAACGTGAAGATCCGATCATTAAATCAAAAGTTATTCAGGGTGGTACTTTTTTGGTTCACTATACGTAAATGTTACCAATTTACGACATCTCACTGAGGAAATATGACCAGGGGGAAAATATTCATGCTGTCTACTCCTGTCCCCCATGTCCACAGCACAGTAGCCTCCTTTTCCTCTAAATATAATGCTAATCATAAAATACCAATTTCTACTTCAATTTGGAAAATAGCTAGTAAATTGGAAAAAAAGTAGTTTCTTTTTCTAAAATTCTCAAGTCTACTTTACTTTATTGTAGTGAATGTCAAATTTTCAGAAGGGGTGGCGCACATTATTGGAAAATAGCTTTAAAGTCGAAAATAAGAGTTAAATAGGTTCCCAGCAGATCACCGAAGTCAAGCATCACTGGCTGCGGTCAGTGTGCGGGTGGGTGACCACTTGGATCAGTCTGCGTAGGGACCGAGGGTGTGCGGTATTGGTCCTCGTTAAACTGTGCTACCGTAAAGTGCTCGACTTCGCGTGCAGGTTGTTGGGCTACCGAAGCAGGGGTGCCATCCCCTCTGCTGAGGATCAAAATTGTGATGGCATGTCTTCGGATCATCCTTAGGGATGTTTCCCAGACCGTCGCCAATAGCTCATTGTGCAGCTCTAGTGTGACGTAAATGAACTACAACAACAAGAGTTAAATATAAATTTTACTTGACTTTATTCCTGCGAATGTCTGAATTTCAGAAGGGGTGAAGTATATTCTTCGCTCCCTCACTTTAATTTAAGGGGAAAATAAAATTTTCTTTTTTGAAAATAGATTCAAAGTTTTTTTTTTTAAATTACTAGACTTTATTATTTCAAATGTCTAAATTTCAGAAGATACAAAACACATTTTAGACCCCCTTACTTTATCTCAGAAGAAAATAAAGTTTCCTACTATAATTTAAGAGGAAAATTAAGTTTTCTATTTGGAAAGTATCGTCGAAGTTATGAAACAAAAAAATTTTCTTCTTCTAAAATTTCCTACTTTACTTGATTTTATTCTATTAATGTTAATGTCTAAATTTCAGAAGATGAGAAGCAAATTCCCCATCCCCTTCACTTTTATTTCAGAAGAAAATAAAGTTTTCTATTTGGAAAATAGACTCAAAGATGAAATTTTTTTTAGTTACCAATTTCTATTATTTTTTAGCACTTTGAAATTTCAAAAGGGGCGAAACACTATATTCGCCCCCTCATTACTATTTCGGAAGAAAATAGAGTGAAAATTGGAATTAAAATATTTTTTCCACTTTCACTTTACTTTTCCAAAAGTCAAAAAACACATTAATGGCCCATAACAAAATAAAGTTTCCTACTTGATGTATAACTTCAAGGCTGAAAAAGAATAGCTTTTTTTTCTTCTTCTCTAAAATTACCTATTTTAATGGACTTCGTCTTGGCGAATAACTAAATATCAGAAGAGGCAAAGCACATAAATGTTAGTGGAATATAAAGTTTTCTTATTTCAAAAACAGCTTCAAAATTGAAAAAAAAAAAAATAATTTTAAATTACCGATTTTACTTTATTTTTGTGAGTGTCTAAATTTCAGGAGGGGCGAAACGCATCGTTTGCCCTATCACTTAAATTTCAGAGGTGCCCTCTGCCTCCCCCTGGTTGGCACGCCACTGGGTCTGACGATAGTTGAGGAAACAATGTAAACCAGAAGTGCAATGTACAGAAAGTGTTAACAATCAACTACATGCAGCTGTGGCCTTTCCCCTTCTCTGCAAAGCGTGTTTGTTCTTATGAGAAAGGGAAATAATTAGCGAAAAGCTGTTATACCGTTTTTTACCCTTTTCTTTATGTTATAGTAAGTACGAAATTACAAAAAAGAAAATTTTCTGCAACTCTATCTTAACACAATTTCTTTCCTACATATATATAATTAGAGTACTGTATTTTGAAAAAACATTCTGCGGTCTCTTCATAAAGGGCCCCCTTGACTGTCGGGGCCCCGGGGTGGTGCCCCGACTGCCCCGGCATAGTTACGGCCCTGCATAAGCACATTTCAACTGGTTCCTTTGATTCGTTTATTAGCGTTCTACGTTGTTTCTAGACTAGAATATTATATATTTTACTAATAGCTTAAAAACACACACACATTTTCTCACATGAAAAAAAATATATTTAAAAATTAGATTTTCATTTTCGAACACATTTCGTCAAAAACTCCTAAATATTATCTCGTAAACGTCTATTAACGTAGCAACTATCGTCTCCATAGCAACCTTTTATTGATAGATCTGGTTTAGGTTTAAGTGTACACTTTGAACGGAGAGCAAAAAAATCTGAAGCAAATGAGCATGCGTGGAAGGAAGTAGGGAATTTTCCCTCTCTTTTCAAACAGAGCTTTTTCCGTTTTTTATTTACAATGATTTTTGCATTGTTGTGCAGTTTATTTAACATTTCACGTTTGATTATTGTTCTCGCATTTATTCATTCGTCTCCGTGATATCACTCTGTAGTAAATACAGCTGCAGGCAGAAATACCGGAAATTATTATTTTTGTTAGAATATATTATTACAACTCGCATTTAAGAGCTAAAATACTTCGGTTTAAGAAAATCTTGTTTAATAATGAAACAATTATTCGTAACCTGTGTTTTATCTTTAGGTAAGTACCCTAAATTTATACGTGTCTTTTGAAAATCTTTGATCATATTTTGTGAATACATTTCTTTATTATTTCAGTTGTCAGATCATTATTTTGGTTTTGAATTTTTATAGAGTACCGTTTATTAATCTAACTTAGTGTAACTAATCTAAATTTCTGATAAAACCTAAAAATCTTGTTTTCTTAAGTTATAAGTAAATGGAACAATTAATTCAAACATTTTTCAGTCCCTCTTTTTATTATTAAATATAATTTATGCATATAATAATGTGAAATTTATTGAATGTGAGTTAATTTTTACTCTAACTCTCAATTAATGAATCTTGGAACTTCTGATTCTGATGGATTCTTGATGTTCCATCTGTTGGAAGAATTAAACTTTGGAACTGAGTGAAGACAATGTTATAAGTTACGTTTCTTATTCAGGGATAGAAATTAAGAAAATGATTATTTTCATGTCAGTTACTAAAAGATATTTCTAATCCATGTGTATTTTCATTAGTAGTAAATAAACTCTATCCATAATTTATAATCATCATAAATTTTTTGAGGAAAAAAAAAGCTTATATAATGAATTTATATAAAAAAATTATGTTATGTAGATATATATAAAATTTATAAATGTACTGAAATATTCATTTTGTTGTTAAATCTCAGACTGTACTACGAAATGAAAGTTCAGAAAACTAAAATTTCATTCCATTTATTTACATCACTGAAAGACGAGAAAATATGATAGTTTTAAAGTGAAGCTTATATTGTTAAAAGTTATGTAACATTGCTCTTTCTTATCTTCATTATTTTATTAGTTTTAGCTTGTTGTGCTAATAATATCGTTTTGAATAATGCTGTTTCTGAGCTTGATCGGAATGGATGTGCTTGTAAAGAATTTACTTGTGGATGTTGCTTGACTATAACTGTACCTGAAATAAAATTAAATGATACAGGTAAATGCCCAAACATATTTTTCATTATTTACCACTTAATTGTATCTTATGAAATATTTGTAAAATTTTATGATTATTAACAATATAGTGCTGTTATTCTGTATGAAGTATGATGTTTTTACAGTTTTAAAGAAAGTAACAAATTAATCAAATTAGTAAAAATGTTTTATTTCTAATTATTTAACATTATGTTCCTGGCTTGACAAGTTTTTAACAATTTACATTTTTGTTTGTTATTAACTGTCATGTCAAAAAGTCCTTTGGATATATTTTTTGACATTTGTTAAAACTCCGAAATTTTGGTGTAAAAAATAATTATTAGCTGTTTTAAATATGAAGTAATTAAAAATAAAAGTATATATAAATTTCCAAGTGATCAATTACTTCTGTTTTTTAATCACTTTGACCTTAAACCCCTTTTTGTTTTGACAAATACTGTCAAAAGCCCAAAATTACTCTGTTGAAAATCATTATCTACTATAAATATTAAATTGTTCTAAATAAATAGTATAAAATAGCATTTATTGAAAATAAAAGTTCAAAAATAATTGTTTTATAAAAACACATAGTTAACATTTTATAATTCCCAAGAGCAATCATATTGTAAAAAAGCACTTTTTAATCATCTTGTTCATCTTAAAATCAATTTTCATTTACTATCTTTTTGGGTAGATTTTCGTCTTTTGATCTGTGGCAGAATAATGGCCAAATCTTGGCAACTTCCCGGCACTGGCATGAAGGGGGAAAAAACATCACAGAAAGGGGTTACCTCAATAGATATAGCTCATAGTCACCCCCGGGAAAACATCTACATGTTTTTTTTTTTTAAATGTGCAAGTTTAAAATTTGGCACCTTGGCGATTGTAGTTGGCGCGACAGATCACGATGTACAAATATCCCTCCATTTTAACTCCTCCCAAAGTACAGGATTACAAAACTTTCGTTTTGAAGCTCTCTGTACTCAAAGTTTATTTTTCAGTTCTGAATAAATAAGGTCAGAGCTCGAAAATATTAGTTTAATTGGTGCTAAACTGCATGGACTCGAATCAAGGCATACCAAAACTATTATAACATACTAAATTAATATGCAATTAGGAAATTTATTCTAATAATTGTATTAAGTAGTGATAATGACTTAATTAAACCTTGAATCCAGTGATTGAAAAAATTAATAACTAATTAAATAAATATTTATAATTGCATTTTTTTTTTTAAGTTATTAGTTTGCTTACCAAGAAATATATTATAGTTATGATTTATGGTCAATGTTCATGTATGTATTAGTGGCAAATGTTGAGATATTGTGACATAACATGATTAAAATCAATATTAGATTGATAATTAGCAACTCCTAGTTATAGCAAATAATATTGATCTTAAAGTGTTAATACCATGTTTTTAGAAAATCCAGCTAATAGTTTCAATAACTTTGACTATATTTTTCTGTAAATGAGATCTTATATTAATCATATTTATAGTATAATAATTATGATGTAAGTATTATGCATGATTTAACTTCTAATAAAATATCTCCAATGATAATAAAAGTTTTTTACACAGAATTTTGACAGGTTTTTGATGTGCCATGTCAAAATTTAGTTTTTGACATCAAAACCTTACCCTGATCTGCTTTTCATTGTTTGTATCTATTTTAAACCTTTTTATTTTTAATTCATTTTGTATTGAACTTATATGTTTCGATTCTCTTTTAGTGTTTTTGTATGTTTCTATTTCCTTTTCTGTTCTCGATTTAAAAAGGCATTTTCTTTTATAAACTCATGATGTCTACAAATTAATTAATTTAATTCTTAAAAAGTGAACAGTTTAAAATGAATTGATAATTTATGTTTTACTTTTTTTAGATTCATTAATAGGTGAAAAATATAACATAATCATGAATTGTTTTTACCATTTTCTTTAAACTTGGATTAACAAATTTTGCTTTTTATAGGTTGTGTGAAATTTTCTTATCTTCCTAAAGAATATGGGATTTCAGCAGCTTTAACTATTGATCAAAAGACAATCATTAATGAGACTGTATCAGGTAAAATATTTGTACAACATATTTTGTATTGTCTTAAGCATACATTTCTGTTTTAAAATACTGTATCATTTATATTAATATAATTAATACTTTCCTCATTGCAGCACGGAACCCACCACCTATTTGTATAGATCCACCTTATATGGATAATGTTGTGCACCTGTGTTTACGCTTTTATGATTTAAAGATGACAGATGATTATTTTCATGCTTGTGTACAATTAGAGTTGAAAATGATCCACATTTTAACTATAAAAGAGTTGAAAATTGATTGCTTTAATTTAAATTTGCCTGAAGAAGTTAAATATATGAAACATCCTAAATGGATAGTATTAAACATGGCATCAGATAATTTAAAAATGTCTCTAAGTAAAGTGCAAATGTCATTTATAAGCTTGTTGGTTACACTTTTCATACCATATGTGTTTGGTAACAAGTTTTAATTAAGCACATAGCTTTTATATTAATTGAAATTGCTTTACTTTTGAATTGAAAAGATAATAAATAATGTTGCTTTCTTCTAAATAAATGTTCTTATAAGCTGTAACAATGACTTTTTAAAATTTTGTTTGCATAATTTTCCTTTTGTGCATTTAATGTAAATTTTTAAAAATTAAATTTTTAATTTTTTTCATTTAATTTTGTGCCATGTTTAGGCTTGTAAGATATCAGACTTTTTATACCAGGTGCTTTTAAAAACATATCATGTACATCTTGTTAACAAGTTTTAATTCAATACCAAGCTTGCTTGTGAACTGTGGAAATTCTGAATTGAGAAAGATGTTCGCTAAGTGTAATAAAATTACTCTTAGCTTATTAACTATTCTTTATTAGTTGTGAAGATGATTTGATTTTTTTGAAAGTTTTGATTTTGTTTCATTTGGTTTTACAGCATGTATAAGTTTGATGATGATACTTTCAAATTTTAATTTAACATTTAGCTTGTGTAGTATTTAAATTTTAAACTGAGAAAGATTTTCACCAAAATAAAACTGATTTTTATTCGTCAACTATTTTGTAATAGTTGTAATTAAGTAATATATGTGACGATTCTTTTTGAAACTAATCAAATTTTATTTCATTTATGTCTTGTTTAGGTTTGGTGATAACAATTAATAATACTATCTTGTTATTAGATTTCGACATGACTCATAAGCTTTATCTGAATTATTCTAATATTTAACTGAGAAATTTTTTACCAAGTTCAAGAGAGTTATATCCTGATAATTGCCTATTTCCGTCAAAATTTCCTTAATTGTTAAAATTTGGTAATTTAGAAGCCTAACACTTAATAACACTATGGTCTTAATGTGAACTATTTTAATTTTTAGCTGAGAAAGCTTTCATTAAGTCCAAGAGTGTTATGTCTTGATAATCACCTATTTCCGTCCAATTTGCCTTAATTGTTAAAATTGGCAAATTTAGAAGCATAACACTTTATAACACTATGGTCTTAATGTGAACTATTTTAAATTTTAGCTGAGAAAGCTTTCATTAAGTCCAAGAGTGTTATGTCTTGATAATCACCTATTTCCGTCCTATTTGCCTTAATATTTAAAAATTTACAAACTTTGAAACATAACACTTTACACAACTATCTTTGTGTGCATTATTTAGATTTCATTAACTCTGTGAGTGTCGAGTCTCGATGAACTTCTATTTGATTCTAGTTTGTCTTAATTGCTTATTTAATTGTTAATTTAAACTTTTTTACAAAACTTTAATAAAGCTTACTAAAAATGAATTTACTTGGAATGATTGTTACTTTGTTATTACATTAACATAAATAAAAAATAGTTATTTGAGTTTATTATATTAAATGATTTTGTAAGATGAATTAGATAGTAAATGAATAAATACACTAGTAATATTTATTCATGTTTCGCAACATTACTAAAGTTTAGAGGTTCTATTGTAAAAAAAATCTTATGAGAAAGTAAAATAATTTAGGAAACATTGAACTAAGTAAATTTTGAAATGAATATCTCCAAATAATATTGGATTAACTAAAGATATTCATTATCTGGCTATTAAACTAATTTTAATATCATTAATTTTTTGTAGTCAATGTTTTGAGTATCCAATTATATATATTTTAATGATGACGATGCTTAATTTGAGCTTTGAAACATTGAATCCCACATTCAATATAATTAATTTATGTTAAATAAATTTGTTAACAAATATATGATCTCTGCATTTTAATGTGAACATTAATCTTTTTATTGTGTGATAATTTAGGTTCATTTAAACAAACATGTATACAAATATACGGAAAAGTTCATTTAAGCTTTCACCCCCATGACAATTTGTCACTTTGAATTTGTTTACAAATTTATGTCATTTGCATTTAATAATAGATATTTATCCTGTTTTTATGATAATTAAAACAAATTTGTGTAAACATTTATAGGAAGCATGTAAATGTTTTTCTTTCCTGTGATAATTTGTGTTCACTTCTCAAAGCTTCTTTATAAACTCGGAGTACATTTCTTGTATATCATGAATTTGTTGAATTTGCAACACATTTTTTTCGGAAAATTCCATGTTGAATCGTTCTATGTTTTAATATGTGTATTATTTTGTATATTGTTTTGCATGAAATTGCAAGTATGTTTCTTTTCTTTATTTGATAATTTTACTGTCTAAAATCTGTCACTTTATTCTGCATTTGTCTTAAATTTCATTTTATGATTTTTAATTACTTTTTTATGTGACGAATTGAGTCTAAAATATTTTGCAATCTGACATAACTTTTTTATATTTTAATATTAATTTATAAAATATATTTCTTAAAATTTTCGGCGTAATTGTTTAATTCTTTTGCATAATTTATTTCATTTATACAAAATTTCAATGTAATTTCTATAAATTGCTTATTTGTACCTGAAAATAAACTTATAAGTGTATTAAATATTTTTATACTTTTAATTTAAAAAACTAATTATCTTAATTTAAATTATGTCACACTTTTTGTGATTCATGATTTTAATAAGCATATGTCTGAATATGGCTTACTCATTTAGTATTTTTTAGTAATTATCTGTTTTAAAAATGTCTTTTTGACATTAAACTTCTAAAATTAAATAAATTCTGTAATTTTGAAAATAAAACTATTGTTTTTGGTGCAAGTTTTCTACTATAACTTTTTATCGCTCTAGTTTATTTTGATTTTTACGTTTTGCATAAAATTGTAATATCTTTTCTATGAAGCTAATAAAAAAATTTTTTTGCATCAAAAGTAAATTAATTGTTCTGTTGTTAGTTTAATGTTTATCTTTTTATTAGGTAATCTTATTTTTTTCAGGCTGTGTAGCATTTTTAGCAAAGTGCTTAAAGGTGCTTATTTTTGATTTGTGTTTTTTAAAAGCCCTTAAAGGTGCTTTCTTTTATTTGGGGTTTGTAAAAAGTGCTTGATTTTTTATCTTTTAAAAAGAACCTTTTTCTTTACTGTATCCATTGTTGTTCTAAATTAAAAAAAATGTATGATTTTCACAATTTTCTCTGCCATATTTATCAGATACTAGTTATTTTACCATGATTATGTAAAGTATTTGAAAATGTTTTTGAATTTTATATTTATAAATTAAGAGCTTTAAGCGATAGAAAAAATGTTCTTATTGCTAAGCAGATTCTATTTTTTTTTCTTTTTTGGAAAGTGATTGAAAATATTTTTTGAGTACTTAAAAGGTGTTATTTTTTTTTGTTGAAAAATCTGGCTACACACCCTGTTTTTGTTACAATGTGTTCAAATTTTTACTACACAAGTATCAAGATAAATGTTGTTTTATAGACTGACATGCTTATAAATTAAAAAAAAGGCTTTTTCATGACAATTTTTAACCCAAATGTTTTAATAATGCATAAAATTACTATAAATGCACATAATTAATGTTCTATATGGAACTCACAGTATATTTCTATTGCAGCTTAAATATTTTATCCCTTAGAACAAACTCTTTCTGTTAATGAAATTTTTTATAAAAACATACCAGAATGTTATATTAAAAAATGAATAGTTTTATTTTATTCTTTAAAGAACTTTAAGTCTTTTACTCTTATCAAATGAAGATCAAGGAAAAGAACTGTTTATATCCATGAAAAATGATTTTGATTAAAATTATTATTTTTCTTAAAGACAGACAGGACTCATTTTTCTTTAGCACGGCCCATTCACTACGTGTAATAAGTAAACACCCGGGAAGGACCAAATTTCCACTTGATTTGTTAAAACTTAGTAATCCTTAAAATGCAATTGATGGTAATAAAATCATGATTTTTGTGAGAAATGAGCATAACTTATTATTATTAATATACAGGCATAATTTATTTTTTACTTCTTCCCTTTTAATCTGCAAATGTCTTGCAGTTGCATTTCTAAAAATTATTTTTCATTTTAATTACTTAACATAAATTATTTCTACACACATCATTTACTAATCTAATTTATCTACTTACACTATTGTTTTATATGACATTCTTATAAATTTTATAACATTCTTATGAAAAATTTTAATATCTGTTTAAATGCTGAATAACAATTTTTCAGGCTCTTGTGGATTTTATTTCCTTTAACTTAAGTATAGACTTCAAACTATGATAAGCTGCCTTAAAATGTTTTGAAGAAAAAGATATGTGAGTCAGTTACCACACTTAGCAAAGTTTTTCTCTAACTTTGTTTTCCGCTTCAAACTGTATCTAACAATCTTAACATTTTTACTAGTCAAAGGAACATTGATTGACATATTTAGCGCTTTGAAGAAAATTTTTTTTATTGTTTTATTTTCAGTCTGCTTGAAAACTACTTAACTAAATTACTTTAGTTTGGTCAGTGAGTGGATGGTTGACTTTGATCAACCTGCAATAAGACCCAGGGTAAGGGGAGAGACTTAGAGTTCTGCTATGAACCACCTGTAACCCAATTGGATTGTTAATGGTTTGATTTATTTTAAAAATTTATGTAAATGCAGTTATAATTTTTTTGAGATAGCACCAAATAAAGATACCTTGTTGCTTAAATCATGTTAAGATTATAGAGAAATTTTTGTTCTGTTTATCTTTTTTTTTGGGGGGGGGGGTGTCTTTCTTCGATAATCCAAATTGTTATTCTCGTACTACATTAGAAACAGAGACTCTAACTTATAGTAAATTATCTATTTAGGTTTTATTTTTAAGATTTTAAAATTATGCTTTTATGTGAAAAACTGTAATCACGACTTTTGTGCTCAGTAGCAATTTATTGAAATGTCCTTACGTGTGATATAGCAATATATTTTCTTATTGAGTTATAATTTCTGTTTTTTTTTTTTTTTTATGTTAGTCTTAAATTTGTGCCAATTTTTTTGCTATGAAGTGTTCATTTTTTTTATTAAAAATATATTAGAATATTAAGTATTTTAATACTCTTAAATAATTATCTGTTTAAAAAACTTTTTTTTTTATATCTTTATAAATTGTATTGTTTTAGCTTTAAGTTGCATTTGTTGCAAGAGAGTATAATTGGTATCATTTTTGTTTTGCCTAAAATTGCATTTGTTACAGCAGAGCATAGTTCATATTGTTTTTGTTTTCCCTAAAAGTACCATTTGTTAAAGAAAAGTATGATTCATATTGTTTTTATTTTTCTACAAAATAACATTTGTTGCAGCAGATTTGTTACTGTGGAATGTGATTCTTGTTCATATCAACATTTGTGATTGTTTGTAGCTTTACATAAATTTTGTAAAATTTTTGGAAACTTTTAAAATATTTTCTATTTTTTGATATGTTTTATTTGCATACTCTATTTTTTTTTTTCTATTTCATAAGACCTGAAATGTCTAACATTCAAAAAATGATATTAATAATAAAAATAAAATAAAAATGTTCTTGTTATTCTCAGTTTTTATAGACGAAAAACGAGTTGAAGGAAGTTTGATTTAAAAAAAATTAGTTAAAGAATAGCAACTTTAATTATTTAAGATACTTTGAACCATGATAACTTTTATATAAGGCAGATAATTTGCTTGATTGCATGTTTGGTGATAAAAAAAGTAATATGATAAGTAACTTTTAATTTAATGATTGGATTTTCAAGTATTAAATCAATAAAAATTAAGTACTAAAACCTAATATATTAATCGTTTACAAACCACTCTTTTCCGATGTTAATTAATTAGTAAAATCTATAAATATGATACGAAATCAGTCACAAAAATGTTCTTTTTTTTTTTTTAAATAAACATATCTTTTCTGACAGATTTGAATTTTTGACCCTCAAAATAATTGGAGCAATTAATCTAGAAAGATAACTAACAATGAATATCTTTGATGTCAGGCGAGATGTTGAAAGTTTAAATCCTTTTTTTTTTTAATTTCATTTTTTTGCATAATTTTCCATATTAGCAATACTATTTAAACAAATCAAAAACTTTTTGCCTACATTTGTCAAACTCGTTTATCAGAAGATAATTTTATGCAAAATAAAAAAAAATTTTAAGAATATTTTATTTCGTAATGTCCAAAAAATTTTCGAATTTTATGGCATGCAAATTTTAAACTCATTTTAAATTATCAGTTTCTACTG